TTTGAGTACCCATACAACCATTCTGTTTTTCACTTTCAGTATTCAATAAATTATAAGATATTCAACACTTTATTATAAAATAAGGTTTGTGTTATATGATTTTGTCGAACTTTAGGCTAATATAAGTGTTTGTTTAAGGTCGGCTAGGCTAAGCTATGATGTTCAGTAAGTTAGGCATATTAAAAGCATTTTTGAATTATAATATTTCCAACTTATGATAAATTTATCAGGATGTGACCCCAGCATAAGTCAAGGAGCACCTATAATGGGCACATGAAATTACTTAAAAACACAAGCCTGGAAAAGCCAGCATTCATCCTCAAATGCATTACAATTTTTCAAACAATACCTACATATAGAAAAGGCAAAGAACAGCATTGAATACTTTAGAATTACAAGTTCATCTGGCCAGTTCTTATTTTTCCTTTTCTGTGCCATGACCATTTTCTTTTTTCTTTTCTTTTTTTTTTTTTTTTTTTGAGACAGGGTCTTGATCTGTTCTCAAGCTAGAGTGCAGGGGAGATATCATAGCTCACTGCCACCTCCAGCTCCTGGGCGCAAGTGATCCTCCTCCCTCAGCCTCCCAAGTCGCTGGGACTACAGGTGTGTGCCTACATGACTGGCTAATTTTTTCTTTACTTTTTGTAGAGATAAGGTGGTCTCACTTTTGCTCAGGCTGGTCTCAGACTCCTGGCCGCAAGCAATCCTCCCACGTTGGTCTCCCAGAGTGCCAGGCATGAGCCACTGTGCCTGGCCTTCTGGGACTCTTAGGAACAGGAACCAGACTTGACAAAGACTGAAAGAGGCACCAAGTCCTGGAAGGGTTGGCGATTAGAGGTTCTGAAAGAGGTAGACCCGTACTCCACCTCCTCCAGGCATCCTAGGGAAATGTCATAAAGGTAAAAATAAGAGGTAACACTCATACACAGAGTGCAAGCTCTTTTCCAAGTCCCATTATCTTCTTAACAACCCTACAGGTAGATACTATTTTTATCCTGAGTGTGACTATTGGCAAGGGAAGAATGGTGGGTAAAGAAATGCAGATACCAGCCAGTGCAGTGGCTCACTCCTGTAATCTTAGCACTCGGGGAGGACAAGGCAGTAGGATGGTTTGAGCCCAGGAGTTTGAGGTTGCTATGAGCTAGGCTGATGCCACAGCACTGTAGCCTGGGCGACAGAACAAGACTCTGTCTCAAAGGAAAAAAGAAAAAAAAAAAAAAGAAATGCAAACACCAAGTAGGCAACATTTTCTATCAGAAGAGAAGATGACATTGAGCACTGATGAAATAAACTAAAGATAATTCCTAGAACAAAATCAAATGCTTTTATAAGAGATAAAAAAAAAGCTATTATTTGTACCAAAGTTAAAACTAGACATCACAACAATTGCTTGCCAGATAGAGAATGGATGAAATGATTACATGAACTTATTTTGCCTCCTACTTTCTGGGAGTCAGTTCCTTTTCATGTGTGAGGCTTTTTTTGGCATTTTTCCTCACGGGTTCTCATTGAACAACTAGGGCTTGCTGACAGATGACTTCCAGCATTATTATCAGGTGGCTGTACCAGCCTGAATCCAGCCATCATTTTCAGAGCATCTAGGGGCTTCCCACTGATTATAACCAGCCCAAACACTCTGCAACTGGAAATTTTAGGTGCTGTTTTTCAATGGAGTCTACTATCCAATTTATTTTACAGCAAAATCCATCACAAAAGCATTCAGTAAATTAATCTGGCTCGACTGCCAGGAGAGTCTAGTGTTATTATATTTCCACCCCAGGGCACACAGGTGAGTTTGTTCATC